CACATCCACTTTTTTTTTAAAGGGTATTTGACATCATAATGGCTGTAGAGCTGCAGATGCTTTTGGAAGAAACATACTGACGGTGCAAATATTGTAAATAGTAAATAAGGAGCTGAATCTTGTGAGAAAACCCATGAATGATCTGAAAAGCGCGTCCACCGTTTGACAGGCTGCAGCCTGTCTCTGCAAGCTGATCTCCTGTGCTCTTGCTCGGGTGCTATGTTTGATTCTCCCAGTTGGGCAACCAAGCGTGGAGGAGATCATAATCTTGATGAAGTGAAGTTCTTTGAGGACATGTCACACTGACCTCTTCCAAGTGGACGGAGGAGGGCAAGGTCTGTTTATATGTGTACCATGGTCCCATCACTTCCTTTGTAGTGGGACTAAAATATACTCCTAGCATTCTGTCAAGAGATTCCGATTCCAGGAGGCTGATGACTTGTTTACGCCAAGAGATATTTTTAGATCTAACCAAAAGACCTCAATTCACCAGCAGCTGGAATGAACCAGAAGAACCAAGACCCTTTGCTGCTCTCTAACATGTCCTTCGTACAACAAATACCATTGACCTAAAAAAAAAAAACCTACAACCAAGACCATACTCCAAATAGTCATAGTGTTTATATTTGGAAAAGTCAGATTTGGAATTGATGCAAGGGGATTAAATGGGGTCTCCTTTGTCTTCCCTGCCTGTCAATTTGTTCAGCTACATAAGGGGTCTCCAGGCTTGGCAACTTCAAGACTTGTGGACTTCAACTCCTGCTGGCTGGGGAATTCTGGGAGTTGAAGTCTACAAGTCTTGGAAGTTTTTGAGCATGGAGACCTCTGAGCTCCATGGATCTTCCCGCAAGGCTTAGTTGTGTTGGCAAGCATAGATCAAAATGGGGAGTCTTCCCTTTGAGGGCATTTAAAGGTGAGTTACAAGGTGCAGGAATGATCACTCAACGTTCCTCCCCTGGAACCAATTTCCCCAGCTCAAATCTTGTAACTCTCAACCTTTTTGTGTTCTGAACTAGGTTTCCCAAAATCATCCTGACAAAACCCTTTTTATTTAGGCTAATGTGTAATTCCTCTCATTCACATCCAGCAAAGTCCCGACGAACAGTTTTTCAAGAGATTGCACCTTAAATCAGGCTGGGAGAATTGTCAGGCCGATAGCTTCCAAATGCCACGCTGTAGCAGAGAATACTTGCCAACAAGTCGGGAACAGATCTTCACCCTCATTAAATGAACTAATTGTCTCCTGCAAACCCCCGCTCTCCTTTCGCTCCTCTTTATTCCCTATGGGAGGGGCCATTCACCGTCCACCTGTACCTTTACTCCCGAGTCAACCCTTGTTCCTTAACTGTTCCCTTCTCCTGGCAGCTCTGTGCATGTGCACACTGGGAACAGGCTCCAGCTGTTCTTCTGCCTCACTGATGTCCGATTCCAAAGGCAGCTGATAACTGTCGGACGGACCTGGCCCCATCTCTGCCTCTGACGCAGAGCCCTTGTCAGAGCCTTCCCCAGACTCCAGGACTGGCCCAGGTTCCTCGCCAACCTCCTCATTGTCCGAGTCTGCCGCCAGCTTTGCTGGCTGCTGGTGGGCCACAACATTTTCTTCCCCAGAAACACACAATAAGAATTGTTGTTTGGTCTCCCTTCCTCAAAGGGGTGGCTAAATAAAACATCCCCATCTCCCCCTGTTGATTCACCATGGGAAATTCCAAACGTCTGCAGGCACATTTTATTTATTTTTTTAGAAAAAAAATCTTATCTGTGACCCACTCCTTAAATGTCTCTGGTTACAGTAAAAATATTATACAGTTAAACATTATATAGATAGATGATAGAGATGAAATAGGTGGGCATGGATGGATGGATGGATGGATGGATGGATGGATGGATAGATAGAGATAGATAGATGACATGATGGATGGATGGATGGATGGATGGATAGATAGATGACTGGATGGATGGATGGATGGATGGATAGATTATAGAAAGATAGAGATAGATGATAGAGATAGATAAATAGAAAATAGAGATTAATGAGATAAGATTAGATAGGTAGATAGAAAATAGAGATGGATAAGAGATTAGAAAGATAATGATGGATAGATGGATAATAGAAAAATAGAGATAAGAGATAGATGAGAGATAAATAGATAGAAAATAGAGATTGATAAGAGATTAGATAGATATGAGATGATAGATGGATGATAGAAAAATAGAGATAGATGATAGATAGATAGATAGATAGATAGATAGATGAGAGATAGATAGAGATAAAGGGTGAAATAACACAAATCCTAAAACAGCAGTAAACATTTCAGGAAAATAACTAACTATGGTTGGAGGAGAGCTTGTTTCAAGGTTGCCTTCTGCGATTGTGAATTCCACTCACTGGCGACACGCTGAGTGAAGAAGTATCTCCTTTTATTAGTTCTAAATTTATCAGCTGCACTTCCAGATGGATCAGGCAAAAAAGGACATGATTAAAAGGTCTCCAGATAGTTTTCAAGGACATTCTTCATTTGGAAGGGCAGCGGAATTCGTAGTAGAGAGGCAAGTTAGACGTGATGTGGGGAGGGCTTAGCTTGAGGTATCTAGAGGGCACCTGGAGGGGAAGGATGGATTATGGGGATTAAAAAAAGAGAGCTTCCATCTGACACGTTCATCTAGCAGAGAAGGAAAACCTTCTGAAATACGTCCGCCGGATAGAAGAGGAAGGAGAAAATAGGTTGCAATGCAGCCCAGTTTTTTAGTTATTTGCAATAGATTGCAGCCCAGTTTTCAGAAGACTCCTGAGCTGATAAAATGACAAGGAGTCCTTGACTTATAACAGTTCATTTAGTGATGGTTCAAAGTTACGATGGCCCTGGGGGGGGGGGGAATGTTAATTACGACCCCTTTTCCCATTTATGACTTGGACCTCCCCGGATAAACGGGATTGTTAAATTTTCTGAAATGGAAGAGGCCATAAAGCAGCCAAAGGAATGGGAAGGCTTTCTTAGCCCTCCGTCAACTTTGGAGCTGCAGGATTGATGGTGTAGGATGCCAAAAGGCTCAGACTGGGAGGATGAAACTCAGACCGAACAGCAGGATAACACAGCTGGAAGGGAAGCTTGGAGGTCTTCTAGTCGAGCTCCCTCTGCTCCATACCATTTCAGACAAGTGGCTGTCCAGTCTCTTCTGAAAAACTTCCAGGGAAGAAGCGCCCACAACTTCTGGTGGCAAGTTGTTCCACTGGTTGATTGTCCTCACAACATTAGGAAGTTTCTCCTTAATTCCAGGTTGCTTCTCTCCTTGAGTAGTTTCCATCCGTTGTTTCTTACTTCTGGTGCTTTGGAAAACAGATTGACTCCCTCTTTTTTGTGGCAACCTCTCAAATATTGGAACACTACTATCCTGTCACCCAGAGTCCTTTTTTTCCCACTAGACTAAACCTACCCAATTGCTGCAACTGTTCTTCATAGGTTTTGGCCTCCAGCCGCCTAGGAAAAGGAGAGGAAAGCTCAGGGTAAAGCTGAAATTACAGCATCCAACCACGGTGGCACAGTGGTTAGAGTGCAGTACTGCAGGCTCCCTGCAATTTGGCAGTTCGAATCTCGCCAGGCTCAAGGTTGACTCAGACTTCCGTCCTTCCGAGGTGGGTCAAATGAGGACCCGGATTGTTGGGGAACAAGAGGCTCACTCTGTAAACCACTTAGAGAGGGCTGTAAAAGCACTGTGAAGTGGTATATAAGTCTAAGTGCCATTGTTATTTTCCTTCCTTCCTTCCCTCCCTCTCTCTCAGTGGTTAGAATGCAGTAGTGCAGGCTAATTCTGCCCACTGCCAGCAGTTCAAATCCCACCAGGCTCAAGGTAAAATGAGGAGATCCAGATTGTTGGGGGCAAGAGGCTGACTCTGTAAACCACTTAGAGAGGGCTGGAAAGCACTGTGAAGCGGGATATAAATCTAAGTGCTATTGCTATTTTTCCTTCCTTCCTTCCTTCCTTCCTTCCTTCCTTCCTTCCTTCCTTCCTTCCTTCCTTCCTTCCCTCCCTCCCTCCCTCCCTCCCTCCCTCCCTCCTTCCTTCCCAGTGGTTATAATGTAGTATTGCGGGCTAACTCTGCCCACTGCCAGTAGTTTGACTCAAGGTTGACTCAGCCTTCTGTTCTTCCAAGGTGGGTAAAATGAGGAGCCAGATTGTTGGGGGGCAAGAGGCTGACTCTTTAAACCACTTAGAGAGGGCTGTGAAGCTCTGTGAAGCGGTATATAAGTCTAACTGTCTGTCTACTATCTGTCTAGTGATATAGGGGAGTGGGCCAGCACAAGAGGAGAGCAGGGGGATCTAATTCCTTTTCACGGCCCTGACCTGGAATTTTCTGGGCACCCAGGAGGGGAAACTGAGGTTAATAGTGTTGTAGAGATTAATGAAGGTGAATAGAGCGCCAACTAGCTGCCTCCATAGGTCTATTCTCCAACTCGCCTTCCTGTTTCTAGCGCTTATTCCCTGAGTTGAACTGAGGCTGTTATGGCTATACCGGCTTAGGATGAGAGGAGTTGTAATACAACACCCATGGGGTTGGCCAAGTTGAAGAAAACTGCCTTGGTAGAGGGGAGGTTTGGGGGGGGGTTTCCCCCTCCTCCTCTTTTATGTTTTTGAGAGTTTCTGCTTTGATGAGTAAAAACAGATGTCCCCCCCACTCTAAACATCTGATCCTGCCATCTTTCCAGGATCATTATTATTAATTGATTAATTCCAACCACCTCGGGTATCCAACCCTGAACGGTTCAGATGAAATTAGACTACGGTTGGGTGCTTTGTAGCCTTTCACCAAAGCAAGATCCGGGCTAAGAAAATACTTGAAGCGGGCATGGTCTTCAGAAAGGAGACAACCCAAAACATTGGCCAACCCTAATCTTTCTCCACCCAGGACTTGAAGAGGCTTTTAAAATTCATTTGGACGGAGGCCGCTGGGAGGATTCTTAATGGGATACAATTCTGATCATCTCGCCACCTGCAAACCAGCGTCACACCGGCCTGTCCAGGTGATACTGGCTTGAGCTGGGGCTGAGGGTCTGGGCGGCACCATAATCGAGAGGGGATTGTGGCTGTTTCGCTCTGAGTCTCAGTCCCGCCAGGCTTGAGTTGCAGGGGTCCCTGTACATGTAGGGCGAAGGGGCACCAGGCCCATACATAGGACCCGAGTGCCCGGGAGGACTTGCCAGGCTGTTGAAGTTGTCCAAAGACGGGACTCTGGGCAGAGAAGCTCCCGAGGCGGCTGGGAAGACATTCTGGGGCACGAAAGAATTGAGGTTGATGGAGTTGTAGAGCTGGAAGCCTTTGCTGTGGATAGGGCTGCCGTGTAGCCCCTTAGGAGTCCAGGTATTATAGGCGTAGGTCGGGTAGAGGTCATCGTAAGGGTTTCCGGTCAACCCGTTCAGCTGGGAGCCAAAGGCTCCTTTGCAAAGCTCCGTTTGCTGGTGGCGTTCCTTTTTCCGCCACTTGGCTCTTCGGTTCTTGAACCAAACCTTGAAAGGAAAGAGGTCAGGAGAAAAAACATATCAGTCAGCGTTCCAACTAACTAACTCAAAAACCAATAAACTCAGAGGTATAAATTTCCTTTAAGTTCCATTTTATGAGAGTTGTCATATTGGCACAACTGGGACTGGAGGCTAAAACCTAGGAAGAACAGTTGCAGGAACTGGGCCTGGCTAGTCTAGGTAAGAGAAGGACCAGGGGAGACAGGAGAGCAGCCTTCCAATATTTGAGGGACTGCCACAGAGAGGAGGGAGGGGGGGTCAAGCTATTTTCCAAAGCACTTGAAGGCCAGACAAGGAATAATGGATGGAAACTGAACAAGGAGAGAGATTCAACCTGGAAATAAGGAGGAATTTTCTGACAGTGAGAACAATCAACCGGTCGAACAGAAGTTGTGGGAGCTTCATCCCTGGAGGCTTTGAAGAAGAGACTGGACTGCCATCTGTCAGAAAGGGTGTAGGGTCTCCTGCTTGGGCAGGGGGTTGGACTAGATGATCTACAAGGTCCCTTCCAACTCTGATTATCTGAAAAATAATTTGAATTTCTTGATCCAAATAGTTCCTGCCCTGCAGGTCCTATGAACATATTTTGAACAAGGACATGCCTTCATATTTTTTTTCCACAACTGATACAATTGTTGGCTGAGCACGAACGAAAATAGCCAGAGAAATGGTTTAAGTCTGGGAAACAAGCCCCTTGTCAGTCCATTGGGGTGCTGATTGACCCCCAGCCTACAAGGTACTTAGGAGCCAAGGGTACAGGGACACAAGGAAACAGCAAGTAATGACTTAATAGCTGGTCGTCCATGCCCTAATTAACCACTAAAAGCCCATACCACCAGGCACCATATAAATACAACGTGTAAAACAGCCTAGTGCAGGGGTTCCAACCGGGGTTGTGAGATGATATTCCAGCCCCCCCCCACCCCCCAAAAAAAACTTGGGTTTAGAAGTTTCAAAATTATAGTATACATGTATAGCTAGCGGGATACCTGTGCTTTGTGACAAAACTTTGTGATAGGGCTATGCAGAGAAATCCGTTTATGATCCATTGGCTCAGTGCTGGTCGGTGATTGAAACACATAAGGGAATATCACTCCCGCCTCCCGGAGTCCATAAGCAGTTCCATAGATGGAAGGCGTAGACTTTTTGGTGAGGTACCGACGTTTAGTACTATAAGGAGCCCCAGGCTGCTCCTGAGTGAAGGAGTGGAACATCTGCCTGTTTGAACTGAGGTAACGGAAGAGAGTTCTTTTCAGATGGGGAAGGGGAGTAGAGCTCCTTAGCATCAGAGCGTGTTAATTGCTGTATAAGAAATCATAATGAAATACTAATGATCCAATGGTCATTTTGAAAAATCCTTTCTTAGCAAGCACCTAGAAGTCAAGGGGAACATATGTGCCAAATTCCAAGTTTGTAGGCTTTACAGTTCTGGAGATTTCATGATGAGTGAGTGGTACTTGGCATATATATATATATATTATATGCATATAATTATTTATGTTTTTAAGGGACTGTGGGAATATATCAGAAGCATTTTAGGGGTGCAGGGTATAGAAAAGATTGTGAACCCCTGGGCTGGTGCTCACATTCTAGAGACTCAAGTTCCCTGAAGATGGAACTTTATCCTTGGAAGAATAAACCTTTGCTCTCGGGGACCGATTCAGACTGTATCCCGCAAGCGCTTATCCTGGGAGACGTATATTTACTGACATTTGCAAAATACATCTATGAATGCTTTTGGTTTGTCCCATTCTCCATGCTTCCATAGAGGAATGCGTGAACAATCATAGGACATGTGGTGTGTGTGTGTGTGTTTTTAAAACAAAAAAGAAAAATCAGTGTGTTGCAGCAACAGCACTTAAGCCAGCCTGCAAGCCTCAAATCGGACATATCGTCCCATCATTTCGCGGTGATTTACACCAGTTTTCCTTCCCGTCTTTCCCCTTCTGCCGTCTTCCAGATGCACTGTCACTCAATCCCCCACCCCACCCCAGTTCCCAACCAGAATGTGGCCTCAACACAACTGGGATTGGAATGTGTATGGAAAGGCAGAGGGGAAAAACTCTGCACTGCAAAAGACGTGCCTTGGAGGAGAAGTGTGAGAAAGTTTGAAGCCTACTCAATGTCTATGGAGATACTCTATCCTCCAGGTCATGGTTGTCCTAACGGTGCTTTTTCCAGGAGGCAACTGGACTTTCTGGTTTTTCTGGTTGTGCTTCTCATCCAAGGAACTTCTTTAGCTCTGGACTGGATGGTGGGGAATGGAAGGAGTGATCCTCCTTGCAGATAGCTGGACATTTGCAATGGCAACTTTAAGACTTGTGAACTTCAACTCCCAGCATTTCTCAGCCAGCCTTGCTGACTGGAGAGTTCTGAGAATTGAAGTCCACAAGTCTCAAAGTTGCACAGTCTGGAGACCCCCAAAGGAAAGCAATTCCACCTTAATTACGCAAGGTCTAAGATGAGCTGGAGAATTGCTTTGATGGGCTTTCAAGATTCTGCTACGTTGTCCTACTGGCCCTAAAGATCTCTCCTTTCTTTTGCGAGTTTGCCAACCTCACAAAGGTTGACAATTCCTGAAGAAGTTGGGGTATAACAGAATAACAGAGTTGGAAGGGACCTTAGAGGTCTTCTAGTCCGACCCCCTGCTCAGGCAGGAACCCCTATACCATTTCAGACAAGTGGTTGTCCAAACTCTTCTTTAAAAACTTCCAGTGTTGGAGCATTCACAACTGGAGGCAAGTTGTTCCACTGATGAATTGTTCTAACTGTCAGGAAATTCCTCCTTAGTTCTAAGTTGCTTCTCTCCTGGATTAGTTTCCACCCGTTGCTTCTTTTTTTTTTTTTAAAACAAGTTTTATTAAAAGTTTCAACAACAAACAAATCATTACATATTAAATCTTTCCCTGCCTTTCTACAATAATTTCCCCAATATTCTCATAAAACACAAACAAACACAAACAAACATAAAAAAATCTTTTAGTAAAGTACCTTGGCCCCAGTTACCTCTCTTTGCATGGGCTAAAATAATAGCGCATATCACTCTTCACAATTCTATCTTATTTAATCCATCTTAATTAAATCATTAAATTTGTATCTTTTGCCCATTCATTATCCCTCTATCTCTTCTTATAATAAAAAGAATTTCTCCTGAAATCACTAATCAGAGTATGATGCCTTTCTATCCTCCCCCTAAGTTAGTAAAATTAAAATTCAACATAACAAATACCCAATTTGGTTCTGCTTGGTACATTCTATCCACCAAAAATGTTTAAATACATTGTATCCTCCTTTCCTTCGATATTTTATTACATTTCAAAAATCAATCATTATTAAATCAATCATTATTAAAAACTTCAACATTTCAATTTTAAACTTCAACATTTTAATTTCTTATTAAATCTTAAACCATTCTAATTTACTATTTCAAATATAAATGTTACAATACCATCTTCTGTACCTTAGCAGAATCTTTCTTACAGAAATTTATATTTCATCCTTTGTCTCTAAAAAAAATCCCTCTTCTCCCATCCAATTTTAAAGCTTTGAGGCTTTTCTCCGCCTTTCCCCTTTCTTTCTTCCCCCACCAAATCTTCCTACCCCCCCTTCTTCTTCTAACCTCTGCCTTGCTGGGATCCCTTCTCTGTTGTGTTCCCTTTTTCTCTTGTTTATTATCATTATATTTATTTTGCATCATATTTTTCTCTTTCTCAAATGTTTTTTTAAATCTTAAGTCCTTCATTTTCCTTGCTCTCTTCCTTCCTTCTTCCTTAAATAAGTTTTGGGATTCAATGAAGATGGCGTCTTCGTCTCTTCCTTGTTGTTCTTCTTCCGTTTCCATCTGTTCCATTGTCTGTTGGTAATTGACCAGCGCCATTTCTAGAAATAGAAAAGCTTTTTCCATGCCATCTTTGCAGGCTGCTTTTGTTTGCTCATATTCATCCCTCAGGTCTTCAAAAAGGAAAGCCATTATAAATAAATCTTTTCTTTTCTTTATTCCTCTTCCTTCTTACACCAACCAAATATTCCGAGAGAAAGGCAAAACAATCCCAAAATCCACAATCCTCAATAAATCCAAGCAAGCCAAAATTCCCCCTTCCTCTTCCAGGGGTGGTATCAAACAAATAAAAAAAAAGAGTCCAAATCTATATTTTAAAGCCTTATTAAGATTATATTTCTGTCCTCAAGTCTTCAAGGCATCTCCTCCAACAAGATCCAAATTTATATATTTTCTTTATCCTCTCCCTTCCGGCTTAATTCCGTCAGGAGGGAGAGTAAACTTTCCCTTCAGCACCTCAAAATAGCCGCTTTTTTTTTTTTCTCTTGTGGAAAAAATCATCAAAAAACCATCTTTTCCAGGAATTAAATTAGATAAATCAAAGCCCTGGGTCAACCAAGAAGAACTTTCACTTTCAATAACTTTCTCTTCTTCCTCCTGCGCATACTTGCCCGGCTGTCAACTTCTTTGTGGCGGCCATTACGGACCGCCGCTGCACCGTCCTGGTAAAAGGGGGTTCTGCCGGCCAGGGAGGGGGTCTGCAACACCCCCAAACCCTTCCTCCGGATCCCCCTTACCTTCAGCTACCCCTGCAGGGCAGCCTTGCTCCGCACCCGTCCGGGTCGGAGCCCCAAAACGGCTAGCGCGGCAGGGATCGCGCAGCTTCGCGAATCCCTACCGCTCGCGAAGCCGACAAACCGGAAACTCCTCCACCCGTTGCTTCTTGTCCTGCCCTCAGGGGCTTTGGGGAACAGCTTGACTCCCTCAGGCAACCCCTGAGATATCAGAACACGGCTATCATGTTCCCCCAGACCTTCTTTTCATCAAACTAGACATTCCCAATTCCAGCAACTGTTCTTCATACGTTTTAGCCTCCAGCCCCCTAACCCTCTTTGTTGCTCTTCTCTGCACTGTTTTTTAGATTGTGACAATCAAAGCTTGATGCGGTATTCCAAGTGTGGTCTTACCAAGGCATTATAAACTGATATCAATACTTCAAAGAAAGGTAAGCCAAGAAATTCTGATTTTAGCAAAAGTGCTTAGACTTATACCGTATATCGCTTCACAGTGCTTTTACAGCCTTCTCTAAGCGGTTTACAGAGTCAGCCTCTTGCCCCCATCAATCTGGGTCCTCATTTTATGGTCCTTGGAAGGACAGAAGGCTGAGTCAACCTTGAGCCAGTGAGGATTGAACTGCTGGCAGTGGGCAGAGTCAACCTGCAATACTGCATTTTTAACAGGAAGGAAGGAATAGCAATAGCCCTTAGACTTATATACCGCTTCACAGGGCTTTTACTCTCTAAGCGGTTTATAGAATCAGCCTCTTGTCCCCAACAATCTGGGTGATCATTTTACTGACCTTGGAAGGAGCCGGTCAGGATCGAACTTCTGACACTGGGCAGAGTTAGCCTGCAATGCTTCATTCTAAGCATTGCAGCACCAGGAAGGTGAAGGAGAAAGGCAATAAGAGGAAGGAAGGAAGGAAGGAAGGAAGGAAGGAAGGAAGGAAGGAAGG